CTTGGCCGATCACAAGTCACACATACATTGTTTTGACGATCAAGATGACCAAGTGGTGGCAATTTTTATGATTAAATAGCCATATCTCAAACACACAATCGCAATCAAACTTTAAAACTACATACATCATGTCATTTTCAGGCATCCTTCTAAAATTATGTAGTATGGAAACTTCACTTTCATGGACATGCATATACCCGGTATGTGATTAATAGCTACAGTCATACCAATTGTTCTAAACTCTGAAATAGTGTAGATCCACTACATATTATGTGTCACACATTCTATCTCAATATGTATGAATACTCCAAAGTAAATTTTTCTATATTTTGTGAAATAGTAATTTTAATATGCAATGTAAATATTGATGTTTTATAATAATCTTCATGTAATAAATTTGCTATATTTACAATCAAGGCTTTTCTCATAACAGAATAAACTTACCATACATACACTGATATTGAGTGTCTTTAATTCAGTATTGAGCTAACAAACACATCATACATTGACCAGTTGGGTTATAATTTTTTTTGAGGTTTGTTAAATGCACTTTCTGTGGGAACTTATTGATTGTATGTCTATTCATGCTTGCATCCATCCCCACATGTATCTTGGAAATGCATTGACCGATCACATTTAAACTTAACATATCATACATCTTGACTTTTACTATTCAGGAAAAAGGTGGAGAGTACATGGCATGTACCAATTGATAAGCACATTCCCTCATTATTCAGTTACATGCAAATAGCCCCACTGCATCCCATCATGCCATGCATAGTCAAGCTTTCCTGTAAAATCTTTATTGATACTATTACAATCAGTTATGTACATTTCTCAAACTGAGTAAGCAAGGCAATTCAAGTTAATTTCATACAAGTCCTAGTACCAACCTTGTTGGTATTATTTGTCTATCTCTAACTGAAAAACACAAACTCTTGATTATGTCGCATATTTCAGGAATAAAGGAGGTATGGATAACAAGGCAATGACAGTGATGCATTATTTCAATTATTTATAATACCTCTAAATGATGGAAAACATTTTAATATACATGCAGTGGTACACTTGAAATGAAAGAAATGGACGAGTTACTAAGCACATCAAAGCATGCAAAATACATTTCCAGATTAATGAGAACCGAGATTGGTTTGTGCAAATGTCTGTGTGCATTGACCTCAAAGTACTGCTCAGGTTTAGAGGGAAAAGTGTTTATTGTCTTACCTTCAATAGGAACCCCTGTTTCTTACCCAGACTGTACTATATGAACCCCTGTCTCTTACAAAAACTCATCAATAGAAACACCTGTCTTCGTACCAAAACTCATCAATAGGAACCCCTGTTTCTTACCAAGACTCATCAATATGAACCCCTGCCTTCTTACCAAAACTTATCAATAGGAACCCCTGTCTCTTACCAAAACTCATCAATTGGAACCCCTGTTTCTTACCAAGACTCGTCAATATGAACCCCTGTCTTCTTACCAAAACTCAGCAATAGGAACCCCTGTTTCTTACCCAGACTCATCAATAGGAACCCATGTCATCTTACCAAGACTCATCAATAGGAACCCCTGTCTTCTTACCAAGACTCATCAATAGGAACCCCTGTTTCTTACCAAGATTCATCAATATGAACCCCTGTCTTCTTACCAAGACTCATCAATAGGAACCCATGTCTTCTTACCAAGACTCTACAATATGAACCACTGTTTCTTACCAATACTCTACTATATGAACCCCTGTCTTCTT